CAGGCATGGGGAGCACGACATGCCTGAACTGAAACACACAGGCTGCTGTTTCAAGCAGCAACGGAGAGTCAAGTCATGCATATTTAGACTCATAAAAAGAGGTGGAGGGGGCTCGAGAAGGAATCATTTGCCTCAGTAGAGTTGAAGTTCGGTGATGTGTGCAATCACAGGCACGCTCAGGAGTTTACGGAAAATTGAGCATCACCGGCAAATGACCCAACCGAGCGGAAGAACGTGGTAACACCACACCCTGAAGGGACGAGCAGCGGACGGGGACGAGACAAGGTGAAGCAGAATGTCACTGACCTGTGACATGAGAAGCGCGGAGCAGAGCTGGTGATGGTGAGTCCATGGGGCCCACGAGCTGAGGTCAGAGGGTTTCAAGACATGCCAGCGCCACTGAAGCCAGATGAGAAGCAGCGAAGCCAAGTCCACATCCTTGAAGTCTAGTTAGAGGCAGAGAAGCGGACTCAACGCCATTCAAACGGGTCAGCGAGGGTGTAAGAGAGCCGCATGGCACTGTCCGCTGCTTCCAAGATCCTTCGCTTCGCCTCCAGGTAGGTGAGATACGGCAAGCCTGGGTCCAGCATTCGACTGAGAGGCAGCTCCAACGGCTGTAGCACACAAGCACCAAGCACGCACCATGCAAGCACCAAGCACGCACCATGCAAGCACCAAGCACGCACCATGCAAGCATCATGCACATACCAAGCAAGCAACCAGGAACCAACCAGAAAGAATCAACAGCAGGCACCCGCAACCAAGCAGGCACCCAGCAAGCGTTACAGCCCAGGGCACAGGAGACGGGAGTGCACTGAGCTAATGAAGCAGCCACACACGGGTAAAAGACAGCCAGCAAACGTGGGTGAGGAGAACCACTGGGGAGAGGTGATGGTATACAGGACGAACACGGGAAAAGAGGAAAAAAAAACTGAACCTTGAATTCCCTCCTTACCTGAACGGTCAAATCCCTCTCCACTTCTTCAGCAAACTTCCTTGACTCCGCTCCAAACCCCGTCCCCCTCGGCCCCCAGTAGTGGTGCATGCGCAGCTGCGCGGGATCCGCGCGCTCAGTTGCGCCCACGGCCATGGGGAAGAAGTGCGGAGCCACGCGCATGTCCGCCCACTGCTCCACCGCTGCTACGCGCACGACGGGCTTGGAGCGCTGCAGGTGCTGCCGCCAGTCCGCTAAGTGCTGGCACTTGGTAAATCGGTGGAAGAGCAGGGAGGAGCGAGGGGCTTCGCTGTTGCCTACGAAAAATATGTTAGGCGCGAGAACCTGAAAATGGGTTAAGAAGGGTTGGAGGGAAACAGAGAACCTCGAGACGGGTTTAGAACGGTTGGAAACACTACGGAGCATGAAGCGGAACACGCAAGACACAGTGAAATCAAAACGAATGGAAACATCGGACACTCCTGACGCAGTCAGATGCACGCCAGACGCGTACCTGGGTGACGGCGGGATCCGAGAGGGAGACGTTGCGCATAAAGCGGAAGAGGAAGCCCGCGCGGAGATCCCGAGGGTCGAAAATGAACTCGTCGACGTCGTAGAACAGCACCCACGTGGACGCGTTGCGATACTCCTTGAGGAAGTGCAGTATGGCGCCGTTCTGCTCGGGAAAGACGTTGTACGCCGCGCTGAGAATGTGGTGCAGCGGGAGGTAGGTGAGGTAGCCCGCGTGGATGAAGGGACCGAGGGCTTCGGACTGGCGTTCCGAGGCGTCGTGCGCGCAGTCGTACCAGAAGACGTGCTCCACGCCGGCTAGCCGTGTGAAGGCCACCCACTGCACGACAACAGCATGCAGTTTCATGCCAGGAAACGGTTAGCCAGGCATGGAACACAGCCCATTCACACCACATCAAACCAGCAAACCGCACAGAAGGGAGAAATATGTGAGAACGGAGGGTGCCAGTGCAACGACGGTGAGGATCGCGGAGGCGAGCGAGACAAGACGGGGAGCAAATACGGAGTGGAAAAGGTATGAAAGGCGGGAGTGGGGGAGAGGGAGGGAAGAGGGGAAAGGAGGGGGGATTTGGGGGGGCAAAGAGTGGAGAGGAAAGTACGAAATACTCCTGGGGGCGAGGATGCGAGGGCTTGCCTGCCAGATTTCGAAGGAGGAGAATTTGAGTCGGTCGCCGCGAAAGACGCGATTGTACACCATGGCGGAGAGGAAATACTTGGGAGAGGTCGGCACTCTCCGAGAAGCAGGCAGAATAGATGCTTCGACCGCCATGTCACCCGAGAGCTCGCTCAGAAGCTGCCTCGAAATGTCACCAGAAAGTGCTCGATCCGTCGAGTTCTTTGTGTGAAAATCCGGGTTCCCGGCAGCACCGCCAGCCAGATCTGCAACCTCCTCAGATTTCACCAAGTTGGCAAACTCAGCGTCCTCAGCGTCGTCAGTTACCGAGTCACGCATTACCCGGCCATCTGCTATTGCATCGTTTGGAGCAGCGCTGCCTCCCGTTTGTGTTTGCCTCTGCAGGCTGTTCTGCTCGCGCAGGTGCTGGTAGATCGGAGGCTCGTCCCGGCGAATCACGGTCTCCTCCGGAAGCGGCAGAGCGTCGACAAACGGGTGAGCAGCGAGAGGCAGACCCTCTGGCTCTGGGTGCCCAATGGCCTCGAAATCAGCGTCGTCCGCAGATCTGAACATGCGGTGCGATGAGAGGACGGTACACTTCAAATTAGCTAACAAATTCTGGAAATCCATAACAGCCTGGATAGGAAATTAGCAGTAACGTGGGAAAGCCTTGCAGAAGCTGAAGTTGGTTAAATTGGATAAAATTCTTACAGTGTGGGAAGTCGTCTTGCCAACGCATCAAGCTTAGTGTGGAGATCCGAGAGAATCACATTGGCGCGCGAAAAATCGGCTGGCGAAGAGCCCGTAGGAGCTCGGACACCAACTTGCTTCACCCCTTTGCTGTTGTCAGTTCGTGGCTGCGCTGCAATGCCTGCCTGAAAAAAAGGGAGACAATGAATTTATTGGATAATACTCGATATGCAACATGCGCGACTGGTATGTAGTGAATTGATGAATGGTCAATGTGTTGCAGGGAACTTCACCATGGCAATGCCGCCGACGCCTGATGAAGCCTCGCGAAGGAACGGCGCTGAGAACCGGTACGCAAGATGCTGCAGAAGCATGGTGGTCATGACGCCTAGCAGCACGTTGAAAGAGAAGCGTAGGTGCTGATGCACGATCGATGGTCCACGTGACGTCCAAGCCAGCGCCATAGCAGATGCAGATGCCATCGTGGCTGGCAATTCGGGTTTAGAGGCAAATTTTGAAATAATGCATGCCCGACAGCATGCTTACTACTTCGCAGGAATCACGACGACGCAATGTGAGGAAAAGCCCAACGACACGCCTCACCTCGTGCCTTCTAGCGACAGCGGGTCTCCAGCTTAGGGAAGCTGTACACAATCCTACCATTTGAGATGAGGACTAGCAGTGCTTGAAGAGGCAAAGCCTCGGCGATGGAGCTACCTGGTCGCCAAAACGAACCCTCGGAACTACAGCAGAGCAGAGGTCTTTCTTCCTCATCTCACCTCACCACCTCTGGATTTCTGATGTTACTGGGGTTAGGGAGCGTCGCGAAAGTACGTACTTAATTTTAGACGCAGTTTTACGTAAAAAACCTCAAATTGCATGGTCGGTAAACACGTTCCAAGAACGTACACATGGCTACGAAATAATTTAGATTCCAAAGTGTGGACAACCACTCGCGGGGATACAGTACTGCGACTTCAAAACCGTATCTCGTCATGTTACCAGATTTTGTTTGTCGTGAAACCCTGCATCACGCGAATGTGACAGACTTGACTTTTGCAGACGAATTGGCGACAGCGTGGTGATTTCGTCTAGTACCGACCCGGCGAGATTGGGGTTTCGCATTGCCCGCGCAGTGCGTCAAGTACGTACTTTTTTGTGGCAGTACTGTACGTACCACATTTTGTGTTTGCCTCAGGAGTTTTTGTACAGTCAGCAAGGTGTCCTGACGATGGACTTCGCGACTGCCGAAAACCCAGAAACTGGTTACTTTTCACGAAATGAAATGTATGTGTACTTTGGGAACCCGCCCTTACATAGACAATACCGCGTGGCTGCCTGTCTGACTGGTGGTCACCTCCAAGATAAATGAAATATTGGTGAACTGTAGAAAATGAAGGCAAAACGACTACATATAAAACTTTAGCATGCTGTGTAACCAATAAATTTGCATAACTTCGCTACGTAAACACGTTGTTAGCAATATTACCGCATCAATATTTTGAGCATGACATTCCTCCCTGTAAAACACAGCAGACTGCTCCACTAGTAGATGTATGCGACTCGACTACATAACAATCAGATCCTTGTGTAATACCAACCATGCCCACCTACAATGCCTTACCATAACGCAACAGTTACAATAACGTACTGGTTACCATAACGCACCAGTTACCATAATGTACATGTTACCATAACACACCATTACAATAACGCACCTGTTACCATAACGCACAGGGCTGGCGTTTCAAATTTAGGTACCCTGAGTTCAACCTAAAAAAAAAAAAAAAAAAAAAAAAAAAAAAAACCTGAAGGCACATTTTCCAGAAAAACAGCACCCTGATTGCTCGGGGTTGCGAAGTAGTGAACTCTGAATGTTCAGGGTTGAGAATTGAAAATCAGAGTCGTAGTAACGCGCTCTTTCTTTACCGGGGAAAGAAGTCTCACTCTGCATAATCGCAACATCTGCTCGAAATTCGACAGTCTACGGGGATTTCAGCCATAATCTGCCTTGACCTAGCGAATCGAATCTCCTAATACGGAGCAAAGGTCGAATCTGTTGTTGGTGTAGCAAGGGTGACTGTGACTGGCGCTGTGACTGGCGCTGTGACTTGCAATGTGACTGGCGATGTGACTAGCACTGTGGCGATGTGACTGGCACTGTGACTCACGATGTGATTGGCACTGTGTCAGAGCACAACTATTTCGACCAATCAGATTCGCCCGATCTCGATGGTGGGTGTATGGGAACGAAAATTTGAAGAAACTTCGTCCCGATAAAGCGAGGGGTGGGCGGGGGGGGGGGGATTACGCACGTGGGGGGTACTGCGATCAATCCGAAGGCGGGGTTATCAGGAAGAAATTTCCGAGAAACTTCGTCCCGATAACATCGCATTCAGGGTCCACAGGCCGCCTACTCTGTATTGACAGGGTCCGTGAAAACACTACACTGAGAGTGTACACAAAATTTCAGGGTCCGCTATAGCAATACTCTGAATGGATCAGGGACCAAAATGCGAAAAACATGATTTCTCAGGGACCAGAAAGTGACCAGGCGCGCAGTTGGACCAGGCGCTCAATTGGACCAGGCGCGCAGTTGGACCAGGCACGCAGTTGGACCAAGCGCGCTCTTGGACCAGGCGCGCTCTTGGACCAGGCGCGCAGTTGGACCAGGCGCACTCTTGGACCAGGCGCGCAGTTGGACCAGGCGCGCAATTGGACCAGGCGCGGAGTTGGACGAGGCGTGCACTTGGATCAGGCGCGCAGTTGGACCAGGCGCGCAGTTGGACCAGGCGCGCAATTGGACAAGGCGCGCACTTGGACCAGGCGCACACTTGGACCAGGCGCGCACTTGGACCAGGCGTGCAGTTGGACCAGGACCAGGCGCGCAGCTGGACCAGGCGCGCAGCTGGACCACGCGCGCAATTGGACCAGGCGCGCAGCTGGAGCAGGCGCGCAGCTGGACCAGGCGCGCACTTGGACCAAGCGCGCAGTTGGACCAGGCGCGCAAATGGACCAGGTGCGAAGTTGGACCAGGCGCGCACTTGGACCAGGCGCGCACTTGGACCAGGCGCGCAGTTGTGTCAGAACATTGTAGCTTATGCTGTTGTGTAGGCTATAGTGGGGTATCCCATAGGGGGTACAACCAATTAGGGTTTCATATTTGTACTCACTTCATTTCATAGTTCATTCATTCTTGTTCTAATCTTCTCATGGTATCGAGCAGGTTCCCCCTTGGGAACTGTGCTTAGGGCCCACCACATCGATTTTTTTTTCCTGCCCGAAGCGCGCTCAGCCCGAGTCGCGCTCCGGGCCCTCACTTCGTCGAGCCGCCCTAGCGGCCCTTCACTGCGGCCCCGCCGCCTGTCTCAGCGGCCTCGCCGCCCTTTTCTGCGGCCCCGCCGCCTCTTTCGTTGCGGCCCCGCCGCCCTTCACTGCGGCCCCGCCACCCGTCTCAGCGGCCCCGCCGCCCGTCTTCGCGGCCCCGCCGCCTCTCTCCCAGCGGCCCCGCCGCCCCTTTTGCAGCGGCCCCGCCGCTCCTCTGCAGCGGCCCCGCCGCCCTACCCAGCGGCCCCGCCGTCCTACCCAGCGGCCCCGCCGCTTCTCTGCAGCGGCCCCGCCGCCCGTCTTCGCGGCCCCGCCGCCTCTCTCCCAGCGGTCCCGCCGCCCCTTTTGCAGCGGCCCCGCCGCTCCTCTGCAGCGGCCCCGCTGCCCTACCCAGCGGCCCCGCCGTCCTTCTGCAGCGGCCCCGCCACTTCTCTGCAGCGGCCCCGCCGCCCTATCTAGCGGCCCCGCCGCCCTTTCTGCAGCGGCCCCGCCACTCCTCTACAGCGGCCCCGCCGCCCTACGTCAGCGGCCCAGCCGAGCCGCCCAGCAGCAGCGCAGCCGAGCCGCCCAGCAGCAGAGCAGCCGAGCCGCCCCGCCGCCGAGCCGCGCTGCAGCCGAGCCGCCCGGCCGCCCACCAGCCGAGCCGCCGTGCAGCCAGCCGCCCAGCTGCCGAGCCGCCCAGCCGCCGAGCCGCCCAGCTGCCGAGCCGCCCTGCAGCCGAGCCGCCCGAGCACAGACCCTCTGTCACTGCGTGCTCTTCCCCTACTCCTTGCACTGCTGGTCTACTGCTGTCATGGCTACCCCCAGTGTCCTCACTTTTGACGCTGAGGGTCGGGCCATTGACTTTGAGGTCTGGGTAGATGACCTACAGCTGTTCTTACAGTGCGATAGGGCGGACGGTCTCTCTCTCTTTGACCTCACCTCTGGCGCTTCCCCTGCCCCTGATGCTGATGCTGACGCCACTGTTCGCTCCCAGTGGGCCACGCGCGATGCTGCTGCACGTCTTGCTGTGCGTCACCACCTCCCTACCTCCGAGCGTGCGCACTTTAGTCAGTACAAGAGTGCTCAGACCTTGTACGCCGCTGTAGTCGCGCGCTACTCCTCCCCTTCCACTGCTGCACTGAGCCGTCTCATGCTGCCGTACCTCTTCCCTGACCTTGCTTCTTTTCCCACCGTTGCTGACCTCATTACGCACCTCCGCACTAGTGACACTCGCTACCGCGCTGCACTTCCTGCTGACTTCTGCACCGCGAACCCCCCCCCCATGAACATCACTCTGTACTTCCTAGTCACTCGCCTCCCTGACTCCCTTCGAGTAGTCAGGGACCACTTTCTCTCAGTCTGTCCCACCACACTCACTGTAGACCTCCTCGAGAAGGCCCTCCTCGCGATAGAAAAGAGCATAGTCGCTGTAGGAGCCTCTCGAGGTGACCCGCGCACCCCCATCTTTGAGGGGTGTTCTCCCTCCCCCCTGCTGCCCTCTGTTGCCTCTGCTGCTTCGGCCGACCTCCTTGGTCTTGAGTCGGTCGGTGCGGCGTCTGCCCCTAGCGGGAGACGCCGCTCTGGCAAGGGCAAGGGGGGCAAGGGAGCTGGAGGAGCGGGCGGTGGAGGTGGAGGTGGAGGCAGTGGGGGGAGTGGGGGTAGCGGTGGAGGTGGAGGTGGGGGTGGGGGGTTCGGTGGCGGCAGTGGAGGCGGAGGCCGCGGCGGCGGTGGCGGTGGTAGCGGAGGTGGCGGAGGAGGCGGCGGTGGAGGAGGCGGTGGAGGCGGCGGCGGCAGTGGAGGCAGCGGAGGCGGTGGAGGCGGTGGGGGTGGCGGTGGAGCTGGTCGCGGGTCTTTGCAGAGGAGTGGCTCAGGTGGTGGCTCGCGCCAGCAGCAGCAGCGTGGTCGTGCGACCCTGTCCCCTCAGCAGCTCCGTGAGTGGTACACTGCACGCCAGCGGGGTGGGGGTTTTGGTCCGTGTACCTACGTCCTGCGCACCGGCGACCGTGCGGGTGAGCAGTGTGGGGGTGCGCACCCCACTCCGCGCTGCTTTGGCCGCCTGACGGACGCATGGCGTCACCAGTTCCCGGAGGCCTCCGAGATCCCTCGCTGGGACGAGCTGTCTAGGGCGGGGGTTGCCATCTTTGATCTGGACTTTGATGCTATTCTCTCTGCCATGTATGCTGTGTCTATTAGTGATGAGGGTGACTGTTACCGGTGTTTCCAGCCCGATCCGGGCATTGAGACTGCTGCTCTAGGTACTGGTGAGGCTGCTGCCCTAGGTGCTTACGACGCTGCTGCTCTAGGTGCTGGTGTGTCTGCGTCCTCAGGTACTGGTGAGTCTGCTCTCTCAGGTACCGCGTCGGCTTCGGCCTCCCTCACCTTCACTCTTGACTCTGGGGCGTCTCGCTCCTTCTTTCGGGACCGCACCACACTCACGCCGCTTAGTCGGCCGGTTGCGGTGTCTCTGGCTGACCCCTCTGGGGGTCCGGTCTTGTCTCGTTTCTCCACAGTCCTCCCGTGTCCGGCGGCTCCCTCTGGCACCCTGTCTGGTCTCTACCTCCCCTCGTTCTCGACGAACCTGGTGAGTGGTGCTGACCTACAGGATGCGGGTGTCCACCAGTTCACTCCTGCACGTCGGCGAGTGACCCACTGTACAGAGGCTGGCACAGGCCGACACCTGGCTACGTTCACCCGTCAGCCGGGGTCGAGCCTGTACACTCTGACCACTGCGTCTCCTCCAGTTGCTGAGTCTGGTAGGGTAGCTACGTCGGGTCAGGTGTTTGCTGCGGCGTCCAGGTCTGGCCCTGAGTCTGCCCCCTGTTCGTGTCGTCTCCTGTCTCACGAGACTCTCCTCTGGCACCACCGCCTTGGCCACCCCTCTCTGCTTCGGCTCAGAGGTATGGCCTCCCGTCTTCTTGTGTCCGGTCTCCCCCGGTCCCTCCCTCCCCTTCCTCAGGGCCCTGGCCCTGCCTGTGTCCCCTGTGTCGAGGGGCGCCAGCGTGCTGCCCCTCACTCCTCCCAGTTTCCTCCGACAGAGGCCCCGTTGCAGACACTTCACATGGACGTGTGGGGCCCAGCCCGCGTCCGTGGACAGGGTCACGAGCGCTACTTCCTGCTCGTTGTTGACGACTACTCGCGTTACACCACAGTCTTCCCCTTGCGCAGCAAGGGTGATGTCACTGAGGTGCTGATCGACTGGATCCGCGCAGCTCGTCTCCAGCTCAGGCAGAGCTTCGGCTCGGACTTTCCTGTTCTGCGTCTGCACTCGGACAGAGGCGGAGAGTTCTCCTCTGGCCTTCTGCGTGCCTACTGTCGTGCACGGGGCATCCGTCAGACCTTCACGCTTCCGGACTCACCGCAGCAAAATGGGATTGCTGAGCGCCGCATTGGCATGGTCATGGACGTCGCTCGTACGTCTATGATGCATGCGGCTGCCCTCCATTTTCTGTGGCCGTTTGCGGTGAGGTACGCGGCGCATCAGATCAACCTCCACCCCAGGGTCTCCAGGCCGGAGACCTCCCCAGCCTTGCTGTGGACGGGGAAGGTTGGCGATGCGTCGGCGTTCCGGGTCTGGGGATCTCGGGCGTTTGTCCGCGACCTGTCTGCGGACAAACTATCCCCTCGTGCTGCTCCTTGCGTCTTCCTGGGGTTCCCCCCTGACGCGCCTGGGTGGCAGTTTTACCACCCCACCTCTCGCCGTGTTCTGTCCTCCCAGGACGTCACGTTTGACGAGTCGGTCCCCTACTACCGCCTCTTCCCCTACCGCACTCCGTCCCTCCCCCCACCCCCACTCTTCCTGGTACCAGGTCCCCCCCAGGTAGACCCCCTCCCCCCTCAGGGTCCTGCCCCTTCAGGTGTGTCCCAGGTAGACGCAGTCGAGCCTGTCGAGGTCACTGGTGACTCTGGTGCTGCTGAGGGTGCTGAGGCTGGGGGTGCTGTACCTGGGGGTGCGGAGCCTAGGGGTGCTGAGCCTGGGGGTGCTGAGCCTAGGGGTGCTGAGCCTGGGGGTGCTGAGCCTAGGGGTGCTACGTCTGGGGGTGCTGAGCCTAGGGGTGCTGAGCCTGGGGGTGCTGAGCCTAGGGGTGCTGAGCCTGGGGGTGCTGAGCCTAGGGGTGCTACGTCTGGGGGTGCTGAGCCTAGGGGTGCTACGCCTGGGGGTGCTGAGCCTGGAGGTGCTCCGCCTGGAGGTTCTCCGAGTGCTTCGTCTCGCCGGGAGCCACTTTCTCCACAGGAGCTGCGTGAGTGGTTTGCCCGGCGCTGGAGGCGTGCTGCTGGTGCTGGAGGTCCTTCGGCTGCTGAGGGTGCTGCGGTCGCGGGTCCCGGAGGTGCTCGTCCTGGGTGCACTGGAGCTGCTGGACCTGCGGGGTCTACTGGAGCTGGTGCTGCTGAGGGTGTTGGCGCTGAGACTACCGCTGGCAGTCCTGCTGGGGGTGCTCCTGGTGCTGCTGGAGGTTCTAGAGCTACTGGTGGTGCTGCTGGAGCGGGTGCTCCTGCTGAGGGTTCTGGTGCTGTCCCTACTGCTTCTAGCGTCGCCGCGCGGCCTCGACCGTACTTCGTTCCACTCCTGCAGCAGGTTCTTGGTCTTCCACCTTCTACTGGTCCTCCTCCTCCCTTAGAGTGTCCACAGCCTGTCTCGTCCCAGCTACAGTTGCAGCCTACCTCCCCTTTGCCTGCTCCTTCTCCCTACACTGGTCCTACTGGAGGTCTGGCTGAGCGTCATGAGCCTGCGTCTCGCCCTGCGTCGCCTGTCCGTGCTGCTCGCACTAGTGGTCGCGGTTCGCGTCAGCG